AATGCCTCGACGCAGCGTTGCCGGATGACGGAGAGCTCACTGAAACCCCTCTTGAGGACTGCCGGAGCATCGTGAAAGCAGCCATTAACAGCGCTGCTGAAGACGCCGTTGGGTTCGTGGAGCGGAATCGACGAAACGATTGGTTCGACAAAGAGTGTCAGACGGTTTTGGACGAGAAGAACGCAGCGCGGGCGGCGATGCTGCAGCAAGGAACCCGTCAAAATGTAGTGCGATATAAACAGAAGCAAAGACAGCAAACCCATCTTTTCCGGGATAAGAAGCGCCGCCTGGAAGAGCTGGAGTGCGAAGAAATGGAGCAGCTGTATCGTTCTCAAGAAACACGCAAGTTCTACAAGAGCGGAAATGTGTCGGGATAAGGAAGGGGGTATGGAGGAATGGCTTCGTCGGTACAGCTTAATAACAACAAAGCAGTTGGGAAAGATGTTATCGGAGCGGAACTTATCAAAATGGGCCCGGATAAGTTGGCCACTTGTCTGCACCGACTTGTAGTCAGGATCTGGGATACAGAACAGCTACCGGAGGAGTGGAAAGAGGGAGTAATATAAAAACGCGACAAACTAGAATGTGAGAGCTATCGAGCGATCACTATTCTTAACGCGGCCTACAAAGTGCTTTCCCAGATCATCTTTCGCCGTTTATCGCCGCTAGCAAGCAGATTTGTGGGAAGTTATCAAGCCGGTTTTGTGGACGGACGATCGACAATGGACCAAATCTTTACGTTGCGGCAGATCCTCCAAAAGTGTCGTGAATATCAAGCACCACTTCATCGATTTCAAGGCCGCCTATGATACTATTGACCGTAAAGAGCTATGGAAGATTATGGACGAGAACAGTTTTCCCGGGAAGCTGACCAGACGATCAGGGCTATGATGGATGGTGTACAGTGCTGCGTGAAGATATCGGATGCGTTATCGGCCTCGTTTGAAACTCGCAAAGGACTTCGACAAAGCGATGGTCTTTCCTGCCTCCTGTTCAACATTGCGGTAGAAGGTGTTTAACATGCGGGGCACGACCTTCAATAAGTCCAGCCAGTTCATCTGCTTCGCTGACGACGTGGACATTGTCGGAAGAACGTTTCAGGCCGTGGCGGAGCAGTACACTAGACTGAAACGTGAAGCAGAGAAGGTTGAATTAAAGGTGAATACGTCGAAGACAAAGTATCTGTTAGCTGGAGGAACCGAGCGGGATAGGCAGAAGCGTGACAATCGACGGAGATGAGTTCGAGGTGGTGGATGAATTTGTGTATCTCGGATCAGGAAGTCGTGCTTACTATGGACTCCACAAGACCCTGAGGTCGGGTAAACTTCACCTCCGTACTAAATGTACCATGTACAAGACGCTGATAAGACCGGCTGTTCTCTACGGGCACGAGACGTGGTCGATGCTCGAGGAGGACCTGCAAGCACTGGGTGTTTTCGAACGACGAGTGCTTAGGACCATCTTTGGCGGGGTATGTGCGAACGGTGTATGGAAGTGAAGGATGAACCACGAGCTGGCACAACTCTATGGCGAACCCTGTATCCAGAAAGTTGCGAAAGCTGGACGGGTACGATGGGCGGGACACGTTTTAAGAATGCTGGACAACAATTCCGCAAAAATGGTGTTTGTCTCGAATCCGGCCGGTACAATATGAGCGAGCAAGGTGGTTAGACCAAGTGGAGCAGGATCTTGGAAGTGTGGGACGGTCAAGAAATTGGAAACAAGCAACCACGGACCGAGTGAATTGGCGTAACATTGTGATGCAGGTGCAAGGTGTAAGTAAGTAAGCGTGAATATCTGAAAGACAATATTTGACAGTTTGGTATCTTCAGAATAGTACCTGAACAATCTGAAGACTTGAAAAAAAGATCCTAGTACTTTACTGGACATCTCTGATTACCGGAAGGGTTATGAAATAGTTTCTGAGTCGCTTGGATGAGAAAATGTCTTATGGATGTGATTTGGATTGTTGATTATTTATGGAGATCTCTGATCACCTGAAGGTCTTTGGTATATTTTCTGAGTCACCTGGTATCATGAAAGAATATCTTACTTACATTACCAATCAGGCTAAGGCCTTGTTGTTCACTGCTGTCCGAAGAATTTGTCTCCACTCTACTCGATCCATGGCCACACTTCGCCAGCCTCGTAGTCTGCGAAGGGTCCGCAGGTCGTCTTCTACTTGGTCGATCCACCTGCCCGCTGCGTTCCTCTTCTTCTTGTTCCTGTCGGGTCGCTTTCGATAACAATTTTCACTGACTCGTTGTGCGGCATTCTTACGACGTGCCCAGCCCACCGTAGTTGTCCAATTTTTTCAGTGTGGACGATGGTTGGTTCTCCCAGGGTTGATGCAATCCGTGGTTCATTCGCCTCCTCCACGATGGTACGCAACACCATTTGTTCGAAAATACCAACGGTGCGTTTGTCCTCCTCGAGCATAGTTCAGGTCTCGTGGCCGTAAAGGACCACCGGCGGCAAATTTTATTCGACCGGAGCGTCCTCCGGAGTCCAAAATAGGCACGATTCCCTGCCATAATGCGTCTTTGAATTTCTCTGCTGGTATCATTTTCGGCGGTCACCAGTGAGCCCAAATACACGAACTCGTCGACCACCTCGATTTCGTTGCCGTCAATCTGAACTCGGGGTGAGAGGCTAACATTGTCTTCCCTAGAACCTCTTCCTCTCATGTATTTCGTCTTCGACGCGTTGATGGCAAGTCCAATCCGCCTAGCTTCACCCTTCAGTCTAATGTACGCCATCGTCTCAAAGTTCCGTACCATGATGTTGATGTCATCGGCGAAGCCAAGAAGCTGAATGGACTTCCTGAAGATCGTGCCACTCGTGTCTATCCCAGCTCTCCTGATCAAACCTTCTAATGCGCCTTGACCAATCGCGTCAGTTTATCCGGAAATTCGTAATCTGCCATAGCTGATCTCGATCGATTGTGGCGTATGCGGATTTGAAATCGATGAACAAAAGATGTGTGGGCAAGTTGTATTTGCGGCATTTCTGCAGAACCTGCTGATTCGCGAGTATGAAACCATGAATCCAACCTGGTCCTACGAACTCTCTTGCACATTGTCACAGGCGGTGGCATAGAACTTGCCTGTCGTCTTCTGCGCGTGCTCCAAGGTCTGTTGCCGTGCCATCTTCGTTTTCTGCTGCATAACCGTTGAGGTGCTCAACATAGTACTGCTTCCACCTCTCAATTTTATGTAGTGACCATTTTACGGATGTTGTTGATCTTCCGGACGACGGTCCCATGGCTATCTAGGTTCATGTTTATGTAACGATCCCAAATTTATTCTTATATGCTTTCGAAAAAAAACGTAGAACTCTAGGATCATTTTCGAGGATTAACCATTTTTAAAGATGTTCTAGATCTTGCGGAGGACTGTCCCATGGCCTTCTAAGTACATGTTTATGTAACGATCGCAAATTAATTTATAAATTACAGTTCCGAGTGTTTTCGAAAAAACCGTGGAGCACTAGGATCAGTTCCATACATTGGCCACTTTTAGGGATTTTTAGATCTTCCGGAGGACGGTCTGATGGTCATCTGGGTCCATGTTTATGTCACGATTCCAAATTCATTCTAATATTACAGTTCCTAACGTTCAAAGTGTTTTTATGTTACTTCATACGCGAAGTTAACGATTTTCAGAGTTGGTTGGAAATGCTAACATGAAGCTTTAGTGTGATGATTTATTAGCTAGAAAATGATCTTTAGAAGAGGGTAGGTGGATAGTTCCGTTAGAGTACGGCAGTATGAAAATTGAATAGAAGTTGAAAATGAGCGAAGGGCCATTAATGCGACAGTTTTTCAAGATAGACGCACATTTTTGCCTAACCCGTACGATGTACGCGGGGACTTGAAGTATGTCTCCAAGTCCACAGGCAAAAATGTGCGTCCCTCTTGTTGCTCATAAACTGACTGCGGCTGTGGAATAGTCCTAGCGACGTTTTCATCACTACCTAAAGCCCCACGTTGCGAGAGCATACTTCAAGTCCCCGCGTACATCGTACGGGTTAGGCAAAAATGTGCGTCTATCTTGAAAAACTGTCGCATTAATGGCCCTTCGCTCATTTTCAACTTCTATTCAATTTTCATACTGCCGTACTCTAATGGAACTATCCACCTACCCTCTTCTAAAGATCATTCTCTAGCTAATAAATCATCACACTAAAGCTTCATGTTAACATTTCCAACCAACTCTGAGTTCCTAACGTTTTCAAGAAAACCACGGAGCTCAGTTTCGTGAATTTCTCACTTTCACGGATGTTCCGGATCTTCCGGAGGACGGTCTCATGGCCATCATGGTCCATTATTATGTACCGACCCCTAATTCTTTCTATCATCTCAGTTCTTACTGTTTTTCAAAAATTGCGAAGCTTTAAGATCAGTTTCATGGATTGACCACTTTTACGGATGTTCCGGATCTTCCGGAGGACGGTCCCATGGACATCCAGGTCCATGTTTATGTGACAATCCCAAATTATTTCTATCATCACAGTTCCTAATGTTAAAAAAAAACGCGGAGCTCTAGGATCAGGATCATGGATTTACCAGTTTTACGGATGTTCCGTATTTTTCGAGCACCTGTATTCTGGCTAATTGTGAACATTTGTGCCCATTAATCTAAATTACAGATCTTGCACCACTTGCAAAACCCTATAAAGACCTTTCAAAAAAACGTGTAACAACTCTTTTCGCTTTTAAAAAAAGTAGATGACTCTATTTTCAATCTTTTTACAATCAATCTACAGAACCTAGGAATTCTAGAGATACCTCAATTTTTGAAATTTATCAAGAAATGGTTAAGCTATGCCATTTAAGTTTGAAGACCTATAAACTTGCTTTTGAAGGCCTGTGTACTTAATTTTGAAATATCATGAATATGCTTTTCAAGAAACTATAAATTGACCTACTAATAGTAATTCCATCGAAGATTCGCAAGCCACAATATACAAATGTCCCATTTTCCCCCATCTCCTTGCAGGGCACCTCCCGTCTCATCAGCACCGACAGTGAAGATGTCCACTCGCCCCCTCACGGATCGGTGGTGCAACCTCCGGTAACACCAGCGCTATCCCAACAGCCGACACCTCCGGCTTCCCAAGAACCCGCTGAACCATCACCGCCGGTTTTCCCGGCGCCAATAGCGGAGCCGCCTGCAGTCGCTCCCACGACAGCGACACCACCGGTTGTTCCTCCTGTTATTCTGGGTCCAACTCCGCCGGAAGAGGAACCCAAAAAGGAAGACTTGAAAATCAAAATCACCCTCAGTAAGAGCCTCATCAGCAACGGAAGTGGTAAGCACAAAAAAGAAAGCAAGAAGGAATTGAGGCACTTCAAGAAGCGGGCAATCGCTAGGGAAAAGGGAAGGAGTAGCAAGAGGGCGAAACGTGGCGAAGAAGGGGAAGTAGAAGGGGAGGAAGACGAACGTAAAGACGAGGAATTGCTGGGTGGGGTAGCCGAAGATCTGCGGGTGGTGGATCCGATTGTGATCCCGGCGATACGGCCACAGTTCCCACTGCCGGGGACGGATGCCTACGAGTTGTACAGGACCCTAGCGTCTCCTTCCGGTGGCGACGACTTCGACTCGCAGAGTTCAATTTTGGGTAGTGCGTCCTCGAATAATACTCCAAAGCATGCCGGGCTAACGGCAGCCGAGGACTGCCGCATTATTCACAGTCGGGGATCGAGCGATTGCGGAAGTGACTTGGAACTGTCGCAGAACAGTTCAACAGCGGCAGCGCCGCCTTCGGAGATCAACTTCGAAAGCGAAAATACCCAGGATAATAAGGAAGAGGAAGCGAAAGAGCAGGCGAAGGTAGTGGAAGAGAAGAAGGAGGCACCGAAAGAGGAGAGGGTTGAGGTGCTGAAGCTCAGTTTGAAGGGAACCCGATCGACGAGAACTACGCGAAGTAGCAGAATGAAGAACACTGCCCAGGTGGAAATTATTTCCAAGCCGGAACCGGTGCCGATTCCGGCGGCAATAACTTCTCCGGAGCCAGCTGTCAAAAAGTTTGGCCGGGCGACGCGAAATCGAAACAACAACAACAATGTCGTTGTACCGGAAGTGGAGCAGGTGAAAGAAGTGGAACCTTCACCTGAACCGGAAAGAGAACTTTCGCCACCTCCCGCTCCAGCTCAGAAAGCCGTCACCCGGCAGTACAGCAGACGGAAAAAGAATGTTATCCCTCCGGACTACCAGCAGGATCTGCTGACCAGTCCCAAGCGACCGCTACTGGACGTCAGCGATTCGGAACCACCGCCTTTTACGCTAACGTCGGAAAGTGAATCCGCCATGGCATCGATAAAATCCCCGCGCTCATCGACGATAACCACAGGACTAGATCTCACGACCAGCTCCAACCGGTCGGAACCGGTCCCGGTATTAGTCCCCGTTCAGGACGAGAACCAGCCAGAACCCACAGAGTACAAAATCAAGAACAAGTTCAAAAAGTCCTACTTCCGCAGTGAAGAACTGGCCAAACAACAACAGCAGCAGGAAACCCGACCTCTGGCGGAGACCCCCGGAAACAATGCGATACCGTCGGCGACGCCGGCCAGTACCCTTACGGTTCCTCCCATAACCATTCCAATTGGTTCGATCAACAGCGGCAGCAGCAGTCAGCAACTGTCCAGCACCCCGGACCAGCAGCAACCGGTCAAACTGGTGATCTCCAAGAAGAAGGGTAGCATTTTCAAGAGTCGACCTCTGACGGGAAGTGCCGAAGCAGCCGACAAGAAGCGGCACGTCTACAAACACAAATGGGACGACGACGATGACGAAGGGAAGGACAAGGGTGCGATGGCAGAAGCGGACACCGAGCAGCAAACGGCTTCCTTTGAGGGAGAACCTTCCGGCCTGTCCAGGGTGACCAGGATGCGAAGTTCCGGCGGTACTGGCAGTGAATTCGATGACGAGTTTGAGTTCGATACCAAGCTCAAGTGTGATCGGGACGCCAAGCCTTACTACACCGTGGTCCGGAACGTCAAGAAAGCCCACCAAATACAGGAGATTGGCGAATTCCAGGAGATGGACGACGATGTGGAGTACATCCTGTCGGCCCTTCAACCGGACAACCCAAGCGCGACGCGGTGCCTATCGGCAATGACTCTGGCAACCAAGTGCATGACCCCTGCCTTCCGAATGCATGTTCGTGCCCATGGTGTCGTGACGCGATTTTTCAAGGCTCTCCGCGATGCCCATACGGATCAAAGCTTGGGTCTCTGCACGGCTACGATCATGTTCGTCCTGTCGCAGGACACCCTCAATATGGATCTCGATCGGGACTCGCTGGAGCTGATGCTGAACCTGTTGGATACGGACCACCGGTCCGGGTCCGATGGAGGTCTCAGCAAGGGTCAACTGGAAAAGAACCAGCAAAAAGTGAGGGAACTCTGCGAGGAAATCAAAAACGCAGGCAAGGCGAAACACATGGACCTGGACAATATAACGATGGGATCGCTTGCAATGGAATCGCTGCTTTCGCTAACCTCAAAACGTGCCGGGGATTGGTTCAAGGACGAATTGAGGAATCTCGGTGGACTGGAGCACCTCATCAAAACCGTTTCCCACTGCTGCCGGGAGATCTCCGACTACGTCGTCGAATGGACTGACGATCTACTGTCGAAGTTGCAGAAGATCGAACGCTGTCTGCGGGTGCTGGAGAATGTGACCATTTTGAACGAACAGAACCAAAGTTACATTCTCAACTACAACAACGGTAGCTTGATCACAACGTTGGCCAAACTGTTCAAGCTGATCGTTTGCGAGGTTGTGCTCTACCCGACCAACGAGCGGACGCCCAAGGAGGACCGAGGCGTTGTACTGAGGGAAGTCATTCCCCCGTTGCTCAAGATCTTCATCACCCTGACTCATCCGTTCAACGATACTGGTAAGTTACTTTTTCGGATTCAATATCTTGATAGATCTATAACCTGCCTTCCCGCGAAACAGCTTACGGTGCCACCGTAATTGGAGCCCAACCGCACGTGATTGCCACCACGCTGCATCTGCTGCTGCGGGTCGGCGAGTACGTGCCGCAGAAGTTTATCTTCGAAATGAACATCCTGGTGCTGCTGTTCCTGATCAATCTGACCATGTATACTCAGGCCAATCGGAGCCTGTTGATGACGACACGGGCGCCAGATGATTTCGGAAGCTCGACGGCGACGGCGACAACGACGACGCCGGCGGCGGAAGGGAGTCGTACCCGAGGGGCGAAGGCAACGGCGGCACAGCAGGAGAGGGCCGTCCAGGCACTGGTGGAGTACTTCTACCGGCAGGACGAACTGGCGAGGTATGTTGGAAGAGCGGAAATGTGGTACGAATGTTGATTTTTTGTTTTGTTTGCCATCAGGTACGCCGAGAAGAACACCGATGCCATCCTGGATGCCAAGTCGAAGAAGAACGAAGATATCGAAGAGACTGTTACCAAATGTAAGTACAATTTTAATGTTCCAGGGGGGTTCTCAATGTGAATCTTGTCGTGTCGTTTTCATCAAATCGGCTTGGTGTAATAATTGTACCTACCGAAGACACCAACACGATTAGACGTTAACTCGCCCTTTTATCAATCACACTGTTTTCATAATTGTAAACGCGCTTGTTTGTCTATATGAGAGCGTGCCAAAAGAACGATGTGTGATTATCATGCTTCCTTCTTCCCCAATCTTCCAGTACTCCAAAAGGCCGGTCACCACATGGAGCACACCCTGATGGCGAGCTACGTGGGCCTACTGATCGGCTGGATCGTGATGGGCAGCGAGGAAAACGAAACCACCGTTCGGTCCTACATGAAGGACGGCAACTTTGTCATGATGGTCACCTCGTTGGAGAAGTACTACAACTTCCTCAATCTAACCGCCAACGTAAGTTCTGCTCGATCTCAACATCGCCCTTCCAAATTCTAATTTAATCTACATTCCCCTTTCAAACAACCCCAGTCGGACGCCCTCAGTCTGCAGCACGTCCGTCAGACCAAAAACATCATCGACAATCTGAAGCGGCTGGACTCGGCCGATCGGCAGCAACCGCAAGCGTCCACCAGCAGCACCAGCAATACGACGACGGGTTCATCCAGTCAGCAATCGACTCCCGCCACCCCGCACCGTTATGGATCTCGGTCATCGACCAGGGCACACTACTGATAGAGGCAGACCACCGGCGGCGGTGAGGTCGGCTGCGTTTTGTAATTTTACTGTAAAAGTTTGAACTTAGCTACTTCTCATTCTTCTTGTAAGTTGTAACTGTATAACGAGCTATCCGTTGTCCGGATTGGTTTATTTTTTACCTACCCATATTAAAGGCTCTCTTTTCGTTCTTTGTTGGGGGGCTAATGAAGAATAGAAGGGCACTTTGTAATTAAATTGGCTTTTAACAAAGTCCCAACTTTAGTAGATCTAGAAAGGCAGTGTAAATTAGGATAATGATTCCGAACCAAAAGAAAATACACTTGAGTCGGTGTATTCTCGTTTTATTTTAAATATTTAATCGTAAAGTTTTCAGTTTCTCGCGTCCCTGGTAGTAGCTGTTAATGTTTACCCCTTCTTAATGAAAAAAAAAACGTCTATGCCTATTTGTGTAAGATTCTCCGTAGCATTACTCATAAGCACTTAAATCTTAGGTGTGCGCGAGCGTCTGTCTGTCTGTTTTAAGTGTGAGTGTGCGTTAGCGCGTAGCCTATTGGTAAAGTCGACTTTCAGTTGCGTCCCCTTTCGGTTCATTATCATTATAATCATTATAATTCTAAATGGAGTATGTAGTCGTAGTCAAGTCGCTAAGAATGAATTAAAGCTAGATAAGCAAAAACTGTGTAGTTTATAACGTTTCTTTAGATGTTTAGAACGAATCCAAAACTTACAAACACAAACAACAACAACAAACAGAACCAGCAGCGGTAGCAACTTTGATTTGAAGCTGCTACGCACTTTCGTCATTGTAGGATTAAGACACAGAAGTAGATTGAAAATGAAGGAAAACGGAGCAAAAAATAAATTTGGAGATGAAAGCAGAGGTAAAATAGAGTATTAGACAGAGATAAGTGTGTACATATAGCGAAAAATTAAGGTAATGTATATTGTTTAAATTATTAAGATGCATAAATAGAGAGAGAAAAGTTCTTTGCGAAGAGAATACTTTTTAATAAAATTCTTTGGAAAATTTAGGCTAGTTTTCAAATTTACTGTACGATGACCATTCAAATATTGTTATCAGGGTTCTTCTTTTCGTTCCTTTATTAAATATCTGGGTCATACTGGCATGTGGGGTCTCAGATAGCCTAGTCAGTAAAGACACGGTTTTACCAAGCCGGAGATGCCGGGAAAGAAACACATTCTGGATCTGGATTGAAACCCTACATCCATCCGAAGAAAAGGAAATACGAAACCGGCTGGGATCCACGAAAGCAGCAGCATCAGGAGGAACAGATGCTAAGCAAGGTAGATGTATTGTAAGAAAACCAAGAAAAACGCAACGGAACAGTTTCTGATTGTAAATACTAGGTTCTCACCAGTAGCAGCCCAATCACGGCCCCACCCAGGATTTTCACCCACTCGCCATCTGGGAGTCAATCGGTCACTTCGACAGTGAGCATGCATAAGGGCCTATACGCGATGATCGATTCTCTTCGTCGATTTTCTCTTTTGTTAATAACTCGCTAGATTTAACGTTTCTCGGTGCGTTTACTGTTGCTTTTGATAGCCAATACAACCTGTTACTACTCTGCATTGAACAAATTCTAGAAAATTGTTTCGCCTAGCTGTAGCAATGCAAAGAGAAAATCGATGAAGAGAATCGATCATCGCGTATTCGCCCTTATGAATGCTCACTGTCGACTTTAATTCTTCAATCACTTGGTTGCGTATCGTTCTGCTTGTGTAAAGCTATATAAAACACCGCTGCTATCGCGCCTTCGCTCATGATTCTTTGCTCGACTGTTGAGCTGTTCAGTCCGTTTTTTCGCTCGAGTTCTCGATTCAATTTTGTTTCGTTTTGTGCTGTCGCGTTGCACCGTGGAAGTGTCGCCACCTTCTCGCGTTCTGGCAAGTTTACTTGAACTTGCAAACACGAAACAAATGGTGCGTAAACGTGTCAGCAGCGGGCCCTTCAAAGAAGGTGCTAATCAAGCCCAGCGCGTTGCAGGATGACGCCGGAAAACGGGTACTGCAAGCCAACTAGTATGCAGTACTCCCGAAAGAAAATGGCAATGGTGACGCCGTTCCCATTGCAAGAAGAGAGCGGATCCCCCCCCCCCCCGCTTTTCACGCCGGGGAAGGATGTTGCCAAGCTGGGTGCCGAACTGGCAAAACACAAGCGGCTGCCTCGCTTCAAGCTTTGCAGCATCGGTACCAAAATCATGTGCTCCAGCCTGGAGGAGTTCAAACTCAAACAAATAGGATGTTTCCTGAAGGACAACAACGTGGACTTCTTCACGCATGATCTGCCATCGAGCAAGCCACTGAAGGTGGTTTTGCGTGGATTACCGTCGTTCGAGGCGACTGTGGTGAAATCCGAGCTGGAGCGGCTTGGGCTCAAACCTGAGGCAGTGTACCCGATGAACCGGCATCCCAACCACAACACCAGCTTCCTTGATTAGATATTCCTGGTGCATTTCACGAAAGGGATACACCAGTCTTGCGGTTCTGAGATCCAAAATCCGGGACCTGTTTCAGGCAAGGTTGCAAAGACTCATTTCAGCTAAAACAATGTTTTTCTAAATTATGAAATAATTAGATGCCATGATCAAATTTTGAATTGGTAGGATACAAGAAGAGGTTGCAAAGAATGTGTTTGACATATTAAACCTGTTTATTTCACTTCATGAGAGTCACAGTAAGCGATTTTTCACAAACTCACTCACTCACTCACTCACTCACTCAGCGATCAGCAAATCGCTGATTGTGACTCATAGAAAGCAAAATTTACAGGTTTTATGTTTCCAACGCATACTTTGTAACCTCTTCTTGTAAGTTACAAGTAAAACATGCCATCATACCATCTTTTGGTTTTATTATTCCGAAAAACATTATTTTAGCTGAAATGAGTCTTTGCAACCTTGGTTTCAGGTTATCATCAGTTGGGAGCATTACAAACCCCAACATCGTGATGTAACGCAGTGTATGAACTGCCTCTCATATGGCCATGGCACCAAAAACTGCCACAAGAAGACAAACTGCGGCAAGTGTGCTGGAACTCCCTCAACTGCGTCCTGTGAGCAAGTCGATGACATCGAGCCAACGTGTGTCAACTGCGGTGGAAACCACCAAGCCTCCAATCGCGGATGTCCCAAGCGAGTGGAGTTCATTAATATCCGTCGGAAGGCTACAATCAGCAACCAGGTCGGTCGCCCCCGTAATCATCGTTCGCCTTCTGTACTCACGGAAGTCGACATGTTCCGAACCTAGCCCCGCTTCCGCTCAACAACCAACAAGCCAACCATGCGAGTATCCAAATGGTTCCCAACAGTCGGACAGTTCAGCATCGTCTCGCTGCTGCTGCGGCCCAGCCAATTTCAGGTTCATCCACCGCCCCTGGTTTATCATACGCTGCTGCTGTCTCAGGTGAACCTGTCGACGATTCTCCGTTCACCTCGGAGGAACTTGTGACGCTCGTGGCCGAGATCATGATCATCATGCGCACCTGCAAGACTCGATCTGAACAGATACATGCTGCCCTGTCCCTTGTCACTAAGTATGGACCGTGAAGCCATCAAGATCGTAGATTGGAATGCTTGCTCCTTGAAGAGCAAAAACATCGAGTTTGTTGACTTTCTCAACGAACGGCACATCGACATAGCCGTCATCACCGAGAATCATTTGAAACCCAAGCTAAACGTCTTCCTTCCCAACTTTCGGCTCGTAAGGCTTGACCGCACCAGCTCCGGGGGAGGGGGAGTGGCCATCGCTGCGAGAAGGAACATCAGCTGCCATCAGAGCACATCGCTTGGTCCAATTACCATCATCGCGGTATACTCATAGAGGTAACTATAAGACTAGAAGGTCCCGAAGAAACGTGCTCAACTTTTTGGCTCAGCTCTGGTACCATAGAGGTAACTCTAAGACTAGAAGGTCCCGAAATAACGCGCTCAACTTTTTGGCTCAGCTCTGGTACTCTCTTCGGTCCCAAGCTAATCGATTCACCCCTCGAAACATAGGAATAACCAAGAACCCCTCATTTTATCTGTCAAACTTTCATAGCGAATCAAAACAAACATTGTGTAGTACTAGAATTTCGACTAGAATGGGGTACGTTAATCGTTTGCTTGGGACCAATAGGCTAGTCAAGTAGTGAGCCAATTTAAAATCGTTAGTTTCGTATTGATTGTTGCTGGTACTCTCTTCGGTCCCAAGCTAGTCGATTCACCCCTCGAAAAATAGGAAAATCCAATAACCCCTCATTTTATGTGTCAAAATTTCATAGCAAATCAAAACAAACATTGTGTAGTACTAGAATTTTGACTAGAATGCACAAACGAAGTGACAGACGGAGCGGCTCGAAATTTGATTTGACGCACTTCTTATTTTCTTCTGCAGAACCAGACAGTGCGAGTACTGGTTGTGTTTTATCATGCCAAACCAACCGATGGAATACTAATCCGAGAGACGATTTCTTAGGCACGTTGCATTTGTCGCAGTAGATCGTAACTTGCCGGTGCACTTTCATGGTTACAATCGCCGTGGCAGTAGTTTCGTCATACAGATCGACCACTGGATCGATATCAACCCGATAGGTAAGGCCGGCATGCTTCGCGTAGTGGCGCTCTCTCATGTCGCGGGGAATCCTTTCCAAACAGGCGGCGCATTGAAACTTCTGTATACGAATCGATCGGGACATAGGATTAAATGTCACGTTTTTATCTCTTGCTGCCTCGTCTGCTCAGTCTATTCTTATTCATCTTTTTTTTCTATTACTTCGACATCGATCGGCTTCCAATTACTGCTGTGTACGGCGTTTTCGTTTCCGGTTCCGGAGAGGCAAAACATGTTCCGGTACGGGTGCGGGTAGTGCAGCTAACGTTCGTATCGGAGTGGATGTCCCTGTCGAATTGGTTGATTGGATCTAGAACAGTTATCTAGGTTCCAGAGATATGAACATTTGTCTATGTTCGAAGATTTACAAAAGTTTCTATATTCGAGATCTTTAAAATTGCTTGTCTTAAAATTGACAAATTTGTACTAGAATTTGAGCTTTTCTCTCTGCTAATGACTATGTTCAATCTTCACATCCCGAAATTCATTCATAACCAATTCGCGTTCGGAATCTAAATTCAACTTAAATGGTTGGTTTCCCAAATATAGAGAAAGGAAAATGAGCACTGAGTGAGGAAATGGTGGTTAGTAATTAACCTATTGAAAAACGCTGGTTTGTGAGTTTATAATATTTCTCAAAGTGGGTCGCATTCAACGACAGATCGGAACCACATCTTTCATTTCTTTCCGATCAATACATGTCACTATTGGTAATTTTTGTCTGTTTTAATCTCACTATTTGGTCACTTTTTTCGTTATTTTAGACTCTACAGCCACTACAGGTCGGACTCGATTATCCGGAGTATCGATTTTTTTTCACTCCGTATAATCAAATCCTCCGGATAATCGAATCACAAAAAAAAATTCAAAACTGCCCCTCCTCTTAGCTACATCTAATATTGTTAAAATAATCATATCACAGACAAAATCATATTGTATATTATAATACTAAATTATTTCAAATGTCTGATGCATACAAACTTATAGAAAAAAAAAAAACGCAAAAAAAAATACACCGGATAATCGAGTCTAAAATTCCGGATCATCGAACCCCGGATAATCGAGTCTCCGGATAATCGAGTCTCCGCACACAAAATATAAAAATTGTTCTATTGAATATTTTACACTTTTGTTTTAAGAAGTGGTTTGTTTTTATTGAAATAAAAGTGAAAATTTTTAGTATGAAAGTAATTTGTTTGATTTAACAGTGTTTTTTCATCGGTTCTGTTATCGATTTAAAAGTGTTTTCTTTTAACGTGAAAATTGTACAACTGTCAAATCGTACAACACAACCTCAATATCACATATTTCGGGTTTGACCGTATGGAATTCGTTGTCTCTTTCGTTCCTCTGCTTCTTATTTGATATGCAGTGTATGACATCATATTAGCTGGCTCATAAGAACAACATAGG